CAAAGAATGCTAAAACATTAATATTAAAATAAATTGTTATTATAAGATTTAAAATCATATAATTATAATTCAAAATATACTTTTGAAATTACACAAATTAGGATGAAACCAACTATAGTAATGTATCAATATTCATTTTACTTCCTTCCTAATTTAAATAAGAAATATTTAATGTTCTTAAAAAATAAATAATGAATTATTTTATTCATAAATTAATCAATATTACTTAGTAATACATGATATTAAAAGAATATTATCAATTTCATTTTTACTCGATTATAGTTCTTAACTGACAAATAAAATGTATTTGTGTATTAAATTATAATCGTTTTATTTTTAATATGTATATCCAATCTACTATTCCAAAATATTTAAACACACACACACACACACGCGCGCGCACGCGCGCGCAAATATATATATATATATATAATTTTTATATTTTATTATTTATTATTTTTATATTATATTTATTATATTATATTATATTTATATATATATTTATTATTTTTATATTTATATATTTTATTATTTTTATATTTATATATATATATATATATATATATATATATATATATACGGAGAGAAAGGGAGAGACAGAGAGACAGAGAGACAGAGAGAGAGAGAGAGAGAGAGAGAGAGAGAGTGACTGAGAAAAGTAAATGTTTTGACTACAAATAAATAATACCAATAATTTTTATACAGTTAAAATTATTTAATAAATACATGAGTTGAGACCAATTTAAAATATTAATTGAAAATACTTTAATTTTAAAAACTTGCGCTCATATTAAAATACAACCTCAATTTCAAAATCAAAACGGCTTAATTTTTAATATATAAAAGAATTTTTAACAATTTAGGCAAAGGCATTATTTATGTAAGAGAAAAAGTTTAGTTCATATAATATTTCTATTGTCTTGAAGTAGACTTTTCACGATGAATTTTCTTTAAAAAGAAAATAAAGATTATAATTTATCAAGACGATATTTTAAATTATGGCTCCTAATCGCTATTGAATAGAATAATAATAGCAGACATCAACAATGAAACTCAATTAAATATCAATATACTGTGGTAATATATATTTTACAATACTCTAATGTTCTGTGGATATAAATATTGGACCAACGTTCAGAAGTTCAAAAGATGCAAGATGTATATATATGAAAAGTGCGTCGTGAAAATGACCTTCGCTTAATTGTCAGTCGCGACGGAAGGTGTCCTAGGTATTAAAACATTTTATTGCCCCGCGAAGTTGAGGAATTTTTATAATATAAAGCAACCAATTTCGTATATTAAATATTACATTATTATATAAAAAATTTTTACATTGTAGCTCTTCCCATTTAAGAAAATTGTTAATCTACTACGTAATTATATCATGTATAATTTATTACATAGAATCAACAATGAATTATCAAATTAGAAGTATTTTTAATTTCATAATATAACATTATACTCGATACATATTATAAATATATACATAAACATATATAACATATGTATTAAATACGTAAAATGTATTAATAAAGTACATTGTCAGAACAGTATATGTCAAAACTAATAGCATATGGAGGTTTTTTCTTTTATATTTGATTATAATGATTCCACCATTTAAATTATAAAGATTTAAGTTAATATTTAAACTATAAAATAAATAAATAGCGTAAAAATGTAAGATTTTTATTACTTTAATACAAATTTATAAATATGACATCTTAAATACATATATAACATACATATTATAATTTCCAAATTCGAAAAAAAAAAAAAATTTTTATGTGAAGGATTATTTAATTAAATGTATTTTAATTGTCTTGTTAGTTTGTCATAAATACTAAGATACTATCTATAAATAAAGGTGAAAGTATAAACATAAATTAAAACTCTCATTATTATTTATAAAAGTGTGTCTAAATATTTGTAATGTAAATACTTTCTATATATTCTTTCTAGATATTCTATCAAAATATTGAAGAATCAAATCATTGTAATATGTACTGATTATTTACTTTGGAGAGTTGATAAATATCAAATTTAAAATGTAGTCAAACCGTTTAGATCTTCTAAGAAATAAATATTAAATCACTTTATAGAATTAAATATTGATTAATTCTACAATTCAATTCATTATGTTGGTTTTAATTTATTATGGAAACAAATTAATCGAATATTTTACATACATTACTATTTCTATTTATTAGAAGATTGAACACAAATATACAAAAATCATGTATAAATTGTTCTATATTAACACTAACTTATTCCCAGTATGTTAATATATACGTACCTAATGATATACATACATACATATATATATATATATATATATATATATATATATACACACACATAATATTCACATATAAGTATGTAACAACAAAAATGATTTATAGATATGCAGGCCAACGTTTTTTCGAAGACTTTTCATTAATAAGAAATTACAAAATTTAAATAGTATGTTTAAAGATTTAAACAAACAAAGAGTAGTGCACTTTTGAATCAAATTCTTATTGTGAGCTCACAGATATAAGAAAGAAATTAAATTGGCAACATGTGAATCAGGAAAATGAAAGTAAGTAAAAATTGTCAAAGAAAACAGTTTAAAAAGTGCCTCTAAATGTGAATTAAATATTTGTTTGTCACACAATGAACACTTAGTTAATATTATAATAAGGGATCACCTAATTTTTTTAAAGGAATTCTAAAATTATAACATTTCTCTTTTTGTAACAAGAAAAAAAAGAGTTTAAAGATGAAGAGATGTTGAAAACAAACTGCACTCATATGTGCCGTAGCACTGACTTAAAATTATGACACGTAAAATATTTATGATAAACAACGAAGTGAATAAGTGATAGACAGTACGTAAAATATGAGTGAAAGAGTCGCAAATCGTGAGCCAGCGAGAGAGAGAGAGAGAGAGAGAGAGAGAAATAAGAAAAGAAAAGTGTGCTCGTCGCTTCTTATTATGATTTTTCGTGACCAAAATGCATTCAAGCATGCTTGAAATTATATATGCGTAAGCACACAAAGATTTATTCTAAATGGCAATTTTTTATTACGTTTTCTCTTAAATTTCTCTTCTTTTCTTCATTTGTATTATTGTTAACGTCATTCACGCTCGGCATATAACGTGAGTGTGGAGACAACCGAGTAATTTCATTTACAGTAGGCTGTGCGAAAAATCATGAAGCAAATTACAGACTTTTGAAATTATATTTAGTCACAGTAGTCGTGGTCTCACAATGTCATATGTTTTCGTCTGTGCAGTATTGCACGCTGGGTGCTTGGTTTCTAAATGTCAATTGACGCATTTGTTATGCTTTATGATAATATCATGCGTATATAATAATTGGCTCCCGCAAGTTGTAGAGATAATATGCGAAACTAGTTGAACATGCACAATAACGTAAGAGGTAATCTTATTTTCGGGTGATGACATAATTAAATACGAAAGATATTTTTAGTAAAAGTTCCTAAAACATAGTAACGAATGAACTAGAATGACATTAATAGCAATAGTTATATTATGCAGTTTGTAAAGGTTTGTCGAGAAAGTAAAAAACTTTTTTTCTCAAGTTAAATTTATACATTTATCCGTGACTTTTTATTACGGAATATAGAATTATAGTGTAAGACCACGAGGAATCAGCTCATAGTCTCGTATTTTTGTTCATAAATAATTATTCCAACAATAATATTATAAATGTCATTTTTTATACACACATACTAATTAATTTAGAAATTTGAAAAGTAATATAGAAACAATAAACAGAATTATTGTATAACATAATACGATATATTAAAGGAATATATGACTTTTAATAATATATTTTAGACAGAAGAAATTATTTCTTCTTTTTTCATTAAACAGAAATTTGCTCTCTGATTCCTTTATGAAGGTTCAACAAAAAAAATTTATAACATTTTCTATTACAATACATCTATACTTCTCATACATCGATTTCTTTACGCTCCAATTACTATACATATGTATTATGTGATAGCAAAATTTTATTGTAAGATAATCGAAACACGTGCAATACGTATAAGCAGAGTCATAGTTATTTATGTAATATTATTAATGAAGGAATAGTTTCATGTCATCGTAAATATATTTTTTTTTTTCTTTAATCCACCGGACATTATTCTGCAATTCTAATTTGTATTTCAAGCGTAATAACTTCTAAACTGTTATCCTTCAATTTTTACTCGCAATTTTATTCGTTTTTGAATTATTAATAACTCGACAATTTTAGTAAATTATTTATTATTTTCATAAAATGATATGCATATATTAAGCATCAATTAAAAGTTTATTAATTCATCCATCATTAATGGTATTTTCTATAAAATAATGCTTGTATTACGAACAATAAATATTGATCTCAATGGTGTCCTCGACAAAATATTTCATATTATTGATGTAAACAACGTCTTTTTTACGCACATAAATTATCGTTCCCTTTCAACACTATAAAAAATCAATCATTGAAATGATAATGATAATAACACATTCTTACAATGTGTACCGTTGTGTTAATGGGAAAATTTTCCAAGTTAAGGTGGATAGAGAAAAAGGCAAGTGAACTATCGTTTGGTGCTACCGCTCTCATTAATCGTCGCTTTCGTGACCGATACACAACATCGATAATGTTCTCACTCTTTCTCATTCTTTTTCCCTCTCTATCTCTATCTCTCTCTCTCTCTCTCTCTCTCTCTCTCACCCCCCCCCATATATATATATATATATATATATATATATACACACACATATATATATATATGCATGCATATATCTATCCAAATATCTATCTCTATTTCTATTTCTCTGCCTCTATTTCTATCTATCTGCCAGGGTCTCGTTATTTTAATCTTTAATGTGTGTAGCGCTTCCTTTTCCACGAGATTCGTTTCACCGCGTGGCGTTGCATACGGTAAAGGAAACCTTGATAGAGCCGCAACTGTGCAGAGAAGCGCCGAAGAAGGCTCACCTGATAGCCAGCAGAGCGCCTCCTATAATTTCCTCCTTTCCAATCGGCGTACCTCCTCCACGGTCGAATCTCGGCGTCTGGAACTCCTCTAGCTGACTGCCGACCGGCAACTCTTCTCTCCGTCGTAGCCTCGACGGCTCCTCTTATCTCCGTGACTCTTTATCACGATCTCAAGATCGCAAGCGTCCGTCACCCTATATAAAGACTCTGAGCCGGCGCTGTTCTCGAGCCACGTCCTCGCCGAGGAGGGACTCATGCGAGAGCCAGCCAGCCGCCCGGATACGCGCACTCGGAACACTGGCACACGGGCCGTCACTCGGAAGTCTCCTCGCGGATCAGAGAAGAGCGACGACGACGTGCGCTGCGCCGCGTCACTTAATCCTCACTGTGCTGAGCGGTGCCGGCGGAGGCAACGATGATAATCGTGTCGCTAGATCCCCGCCCGCCGCTACCTTTCCTAGAGTGGGTACGCGCGCGCGCGCGAGCGACGCCCCGAGGAAATCCTACAGCAATGTCTCCCAACGTCGTTCGAGCAGACGACGCAATGCTGCGTGGGCGCGCAAGCAACGACGCGACTACATAGAGAGGCGTACGCAGCTGGCGGCGCGGTGCGGTGCTGCGGGGGGCATTCGCGGCCGCACAGAGGAGTGCGAGGAAGAGCGAGGAAGCGTAAGGAAAACTCGAATGCGAATGCCGGTTGACGCACGTGTTGAAATTGTAACAACACTAAGCTAGCAAGCATTGTAGGTTATATCGGAAAGTTTAAAGCGCCGCTCTCACCTAAACTCCGAACTTTTCTCTTCAAACTCTACTACTAATAGAATTAAAAAATGTCATATATTTAGTTATCCATTTTATCGATTCCAAAGCCCCAATACATTAATAATCTTTATCATTTGTTTTAGGACACGATGTTCGCATATTAATTCAGATTTCCAAGTTCATTTAAATTTTAGATTTCCATCAATTTTGTAAATCATATAAAATATTATTTGAAACTAATTGTATATAATCTATACTTTAAAAATCACACTAAAGTTTAGAATACCATTACTAGTCAAAATCATATATGTGTATATAACTAAATACTTATTATAATCATTAGAAATTGCAATATATAGGCAAAAAATTGCATCTTATAAGTACTAATCTTGAAAAATACTAATTCATAATATACTTTATTAAGTGAAAAAAATCATAACTTACTCTGATATTTTCTATTTGATACAAAATAGTTTATTAACTTTTTATATCCATATGATTTCATAATGGCATTTTAATATCATTATATTTTACAAAACAATATTAAAATACAAATTAATTTTATATTTCACGAAATAATACTATTTACGAGTTCATAAAAATTTTTATGAAATTGCGAATAATAATTAATATAAAATTTTCTTTACTTTTATTATTTATATTCCTATAAAATCACTAAAAACAAAATTTTGAGTAATATAGCTATTTAAAATATAAATTACATCTTATATAACAAAACCTATAATTTATAGTTAATAATGAAACTTGTTGCTTTCAATTGAATTTATCACAGTGCATTTGGAATAAATTATATGTAATCAAAAACCTTTAAATTTATTTCTTTTTCGATTATGGAAAAATATATTGAGAAAACGAAGTTAATTTTGCTTGTTTTAATTATAATGTAAATTTTTTACGAATTAGTAAATTTTCCTAGCTTTAACAAATTCGTCATATTTTAATTAATTTAAAGTTCACTTTGTTTTTATAGTATTTATAGTTTTTAATTATTTTATATTTGCATGCTTAATAATTTATGGTTAAAGTATAGTTCATTAACTACTATTAATTTATTAATAGTTCTGTAATTTATTCTTTAACTATTTTTCCTCTTTGATAACATTTGTGGTCTATTAAAACATACATAAAACAATTATTACAATAATTCCTTATCACGGATGTATGTTCGACTAGTTAATAAAATTCAAATTCCAGTAGTCTCACATATATTACTTTTATATTAAGTGAAGGTGAAAGTTATAATATTAAAAGTTTATTTAAATTCATGAAATGCTCGAATTTTATCATTATTATTCCTGTTATTATTATTGCATTAAAAGTATGACGTTCAAATTATTTCAGATTTCACTATTAATAATAATAAACTATTACTTTTCATATTAATAATTTAAAAAATTAATATATAGTAATAAATTAGTAAAATAATAATATGTGTTTTTTAATACAATTAACTGTAATTATTGAATGTAACAACTTTCCTATACTCTAATACAATATTTATTCATAAAATATTTACTTTATTTTTATTTCTATATATTATAGAAAATTTATGATATTCCATATAAAGTACGTGTAAAAATTATTTCGTGAATAATTTGAATACATGGATACTTATAGTTCATCACAATAATATTATTATTATCAAAATTGCCTGTAATTATTTGCTAAAAGACAAGTGTTATAATATCATCTACATGCTTAAAGAATTTTGAACATAATGTAATTACAAAGGAAATTTGTTAAATTACATGAATAGTAACCAGTCAATCTTGGATTAATATCGATTTATGTCAAATAATATGAATATATTCTTAGTAATCTTATGATGCCATATTATTAATTGTAGTTTCAAAAATTTTAAAAATGTGGACACTATTACTATTAGGATTTGACAATGATTATATATATAATATCTATAGAAATGAAAATTGTTTTACATTAGTTAATTGCCACACAACTAAATGTACTACAGATTTCTACAAATATTTCAGATACTTCGTACCAATGTAATTCATATTCATGGAATTATTAATAGGATATTAAATAACTAATATAAATATACATATTAAATAACTATATAAATAACTAATATAATTCGACCTAAATCACCATACTTATATTATTAGTTGTTTTTTTTAAAAAATTCCGTGTTATAAATGTTAAAGCAATCATGAATGTTATTTTAATTAATTTGATAAAAAAATATAAATTTTTTTTTGCACCGAGGTTACACTAAACTTAAACTAGTCTGTTTTAATAAAATTTTAATAGTAGTTTGGACTTTAACAATAGTATAATAAACATTTTAATAATGATACTTGCTTTATTTATTTATACAATTTAGTTTATGATGTTTCAATACAGAAGATTTAACTCATAGTTTTTTCATTTTCATTGAAATAGATTTGCATTTAATTAATTTGGTATTCTCTAGTTTTAATGTATTCAATGAAATTTGTATCTCATACAATATATAATATAATATTTTTCAAAATGATTTTTTTATGCTAATGTGGCTTATTTAAATTTTGAAACTTTTTAAATATTGGCATAATCAATATAAGAAAAATTATAAATTATGACTTCCCTTTTCACAAATGCAGTATTTAACATCACTAAATCATTTATCCAGATTTTTTATGAATTATCTATTATTTTTCGAAAGGTAAATAATTTCTTTATGTATTTATAATAATTGTGCCTGCATTTATAAAAATTTCTTCTTTTTAATAGTAGTCGAATTTATACGTGATAATTTAATAATGTAGGCTAGCTAATCCAATGATAACAACAAAAAATAACTCAATATTATAATATAATATTTAAAGAATATTTAAAGAACTATTCTTCATTCTAATATAATCTAATAAATATGATAGAAAATAAATAAATTCCTCAGTATTTTTTCATATTCAATATTCACTATTTGTTGGAAAAATGATTAATGTGTACTTATATTAAAAAGATTTTTATTTACAGAATATTCTTTAATTACTTTGTTATCTATGAAAATATATTCTGCTAATAGATTTGCTTGATTAAAAATTAATCATTCCGAATCTTGAGAATATCCGTTTTTATTTTCGATAAAAACACTATTTACACTTTTTGCACCTTGATCACTTTAAGTGATTGGTATATAATTTTGGCTATTGCACCATAAAGTATTTTTAACTTTAAGTAAAAGAGAAAATAGATCCACTCTAAATTGAGAAATTATATTTTAAGAAATTGTACATTACAGTTACATTTAGATTTAATTCGTCATGTAAAGTGAACATTTTTCTCTAAAGAATAGAATAATTATCTTCTGAAACTAATTCAAATTACATAGTATTGACAGAATGGACAGGCAAAAATTTCTATTACGGTCAATTAAAGAATCAATAGCATAATCGGTATTATAATGTAGACATGTGATTCTCAAATGTCTAACTTCAGCCTATACATAAAATAAAAAAATAATATAAATAATAAACTGAAAGTATTGTAGTTAATTTATTATTCATACTTATTAATTACCTCTGCTACCCAACTCCACATTATCGATAAAAATTTTTGTTTACTATAAATATTATGAAGTCTGTTAAATTAATTTTTACATGAAAAATAGTTTTACTTAGATTAAAAACAAAAATTTCGATTATATTCTTTTTTTTCGTATTATATTAATGGAAAATATATTGAAATATCTTTAGTTTAAAAAATATCAATATTTAATAAATTTAAAATATTTCAATTCATAATAATTTTTCGAATAATTGATTATTTATGATATTTTATGCAATAGTTATTAAATCGTTTACTTGGCATATTATAAAAATAAATTTTTAAATATTTTAATAAAATATTAAGGGTAATTGCTAATCAATATTGTTTACTATATTGAAAATGATTTCGTAATTTGTCTAAATTTTATTCATATAATAGATTAATAATATAATATTAATAGTATTATTTACATTGATTTACTATATAATACTAATATAATAATATTTAAATGAAATACAAATAATACCATAAGAACAGAAATGGAATTTGATTTGCAATAAACTAAGCCTTATTATTATTTAAAATTTTTATTTCATACTAAAAAATAAAATTTTGTTTAAATTATGGCAATTATATTTAGGATATGTTACTTTGAATAAATTTTTATTATTATCTAAAGTAGAAAGACTTCTAGATACGTGATAGCTAATTATAATAATTTGCAAAGTTTTTTCTTCATACATTCAAAAGCCATATCCTTAAAATAAAACAGAAATTATAAATCCACAATATGCATTGTTATTTTTCTATGATAAAATAATTTATAACACCTGAAATCAACGACTCAAAGTAATACTTGCTATATTCAAAATTTAAATTTCTCTTAGAATTTTATTTTTTCAAACGAATTTTGTATCAAGGAGCATATAAGGTTGTATACTATTACATATATTTTATTTGATCTTTCAATTTTAATTTATTATAATTGTAGTAAATAATAAAATTAATTTAACATAATATTATATATATATATTAATATTAAAAATGTTGTTTAAAAATATGAATTGACTAGTTCTTTTAATAATTATATGCCTTTAAAAATGTTTGTGTACTATTTTACTTATAATTGAAATAATTAACCCAAAGTAATTCTATGATTAATTGATTTTTATATTCTTTTAAGAAACACGCATTTGATACTAAAAAAGAATATTTATAAATTGCATTGTTATGAATCTATAAATTATTCAAAGTCAAAGTGCAAGGACTTTCTTT